AAACAAACGCTATAACAACGAACGTCAATAATACTTCTGATCGCAGATCAATTACTCACTGTCTACACACACATTACATTCTCCTCTTTTATATACCAGCCTACCCTATCTAGTAAATACTAGAGCATTCGACAAGATACGGGATAGTTCTAGAAACGTGGCGCCACACCAGTCATGTGACTCGCTGACGCAACAATATAATGTTAAATAATAAATAAAAATAAAAAGTAATTACATTCGCATCTAACTGTTATAACAAATATTAATGAAAGGAGTAATAAATAAGAAATTTAGTATACCTTAAGGAACACACAAACACAAGTTCTAATGTTGAATTATCGTCGTAAAGTATATTTTTATAACAATAGGAAATTAGCTTTCTCTACCATGCCACTTACCAATACTAATAAGTAGTTATGATTATTAGGAAGTATCAAAAAACATATTGGCTAAGTATAATAAATAGTATGCTAAAAACGTGGTGAAGTTTTAATCAGGGATATTTATGATGTAAGTTTTATGACTTAATGGAAGAAGTTGTTGTTGGTAGTAATGGGAGCCAACACTTTATTTTGCACTGCAGGAGTTGAGGGGAATCGATAGTTGCCAATAAAATAGAGGGGTGTAAATTTTTACTTTTCTCAAGAATGGGTGTATATTGTCATAGTCTTGAAATATTCTTTAAAGACCAAAAAAACTTATGCTGTTCGTATGTTATATTTAAAGTTTAAGTTTCTTCAAGAATTTTATCTCACGGACCACTTTGGAAATTTATACACTAAGCTGCCTCTTGCTTTCCGTAATTATTCAACCTTTCCACGAACCACAGATTGAGTACTGCTAAACTAGCAAAACTGTATGTAAAATACAATGATATTTTAATGTATATTGTACTACAGACGTAAAATTTACTACAGTAACTAATAATAAATGTGTGAATCATATACGTAGACCTTGATTCAACTTCAAGTTTCCAGGCAGAAGAAATGTAATAACATCTCGACCACATGCCATTACTTACGAGGTCTTTCATCCAGTAAGGTTAGGCGGAAATGCAAGACGTAGTCTTGATTCTTACGCTACGTATACAAGTCATTTATATTTCAATTATTGTACTATGCAGCATGCAATGCCTTTTCTTGACCAAGCGACCTGATAAGCTCTGATTTTAGCAAGAGGCATGCATTGCGCAAAAGGTGTGGAGTCCATATAGTTACTAGAATTTTGAATATTTTTAGTAATTGAATGATAGGGTCTTTAAAGAAAGTTTTATAAAAATTATCAGTCTTATCGTGATATAAATGTAATGTAATACAAACTACTGATAATAGAACTCGCTTCGCCAGCATATGACATATATACCATTATAACTATTAACTTTTTGTTTTACTCGATGTCAGCGCAATAATATAGGTGGTTTTAGCTAAATGTACTTAAAATTACAAATGCCCTTGGGAAAAACTTAATTACGAACGGAGTGATGTTATTCAACTTTACTCCACATTAATATGTAGCCTGATTGTTTCCGTAACCACAGTCTTTCTTTTTTTACACAATAGATATCGAACTATTTTGAACAATGTGCATAGATACCATGTGAAATTAGATGGTGTATTTTGCAATTTGCGTCACTTGAATACATAAGTATAATCATTCAGGGATGGAGTGAATTTCATAGTTTCTGGTATCTAATAAAGTAATTTTATATCGATCTTAAAAACAAACCCAGGGAGTGGTTTTTACGTCCGATTTTTTTCTTTAGAACCTCGTCAATAATTTAATGTGAAATTGATATAAATCATCTGTCATTAAAGTTTTAAAGTTAATAAGAGTTTCCTTTGCAATGTGACCACTTTGACAATAAAAACCAACTTGTGATGAAAATATGTGTATCGGCTTCATGACTGTGGTGTTTATATTAATTACAGTTTCTTTTGCTCTGTTTAGATCAGTTTTATAATATTTTCACTTACCTGAATGCTACCTTATTTTCTCAGCTCGGAAATTATTTGTTTTCTTTGCTCTTTACTAATGCACAGTGCCATTATTATGATTGTATATTACGGTTTTCCATTACCTTACAAAACCGAAATGTTATTTCATCCATAAAACATTTTCATTCCTCAAACTTTAGTGGTAAATTTGTTATTTGGTTGTTAAACAAGTCAGTGAATTTTTTTAGGTGGGAGCATTTCTTTAATATTGGTGTGATGTCTTTGAAATATGCACATTGTTTAGATATTTCATATGCAAGATAAGAATATGAGATTACAGGTCCTTTTCTGCCAAGCTAGATAGCTTGCAAGTAATTGTCTTAACCAACTGTAATATAAATCAAAAGGTTTGTTTAGAATGTCAATTATTTTCTTCTTCAAAATGCACACCTTTTATGAGGAACGTGGTCGGTAATTTGTACGTGTGGCATCTGCTTTAAGTCTAACTCGCTAGCCTAACGTCATTTTCCATTCATTGTGCACACTCGATAAAATATATTTAGTACAAAAATAAAGTGTGTATACAGTTATTTTTCTCAATCCCACCCTACTGAAAATTCCATTTTGTTTTTTTACAACTGGAAACCAACTGGTAACAAACTGTATATTAGGAGGTTTTTCATTGGACACCAATAACGGTGTCCCTAACTGGGAAATAAATGTGTTTTTACACTGTCCAATTGAAAAACAAAAATGTATGTTAGATGGACCCCACTGGAAACAATGATTTCCAATTGCAAACCCTCTGGAAATAAATCGTTCATTCTTAGTTGGATACCATGTATTACCTAAACATTTCCTAATTGGCAACCAACAAGAAAACCTTTTATTGCCCAATTATTTCCTACTTTGAAAAACATTTTGGAAATGAAATGAAAGTCATTTACTGTCTTTCTGTTTTCCAACTCA